AGAGGAGAACCGGTCAGGTGTGTAAACAATTTAGTCAAGAGGGTTGTTAATTGAAAGCAACTGCGCAAGAGGGCAAATTTATTACTCCCTTGATACAGTCAATGATATTAATTAAGTTATCAAGGAAAAAAAATTTGTTTTCAATTTTTGTTTTGGCAGGAAATATTTAAAAATATATAAAAGTAACATTTACAGCTAGTATTGTACTTTGAGGTCGAACATTATATAATATAAAAAGAAAACAACAGTCTAAAAATTAATAATTGGTTTATTAAAAATTATTTTATAATATAAATTATATTAAATTATAAAATATAAATTTTTAAATAAAAATAAATTTTTTAATATTACAATTTTTTTATTTTATAATTTAATATAATTTAAATTATAAAATAACTAACTCATTGATTTATTCCTAATTGGAGAAGCAGTCCTTTTTTCTTTTTTTTTTTTTTTTTTTGATGCATGCTTTTTTCCAAGCGAATCTTGTTTGTCACTCAATCTCCCTATGCTGACTGTATCAACGAGTGGACCGAGTACTCCTTCCTTATATCTCAATAATTAAGGTAGCAGTTAATTCTTCATATTTTTAAAAAATATATTAGGGGATTTTCGTACAAGTATGCTATCGGGGAAGCATCCAGCGTAGACCGCTTCTCTTGCTGTCCTATTTCGTACGAAACTTTCTTTTCTTTTAAAAAAATAATTGATGTATATTTCTTTGACTTATTAAAAAAAAAGATATTGATGTAATAATTCAGATGTAGGTCACAAAACAAACATGACGCAGTAACAACATAACCCAAACCATCACAAACACATATATCAAATTAAACCTTTTGGCATGTATTAGCGCAAAGTACTGGAAACAGGCCCATCTGACCTTTTTGTTCCGATAATTATATATTATATTATATATACACCTCTAATTTAAAAGTTGAGTTTAAAATTTTCTCACCTTAAAATTGTAACCTCCCACCCCCAAGGTCGTGACTTGTTTTTTTTTTTTTTTAATAAGTTTGGCATTATTTACCAGTATATATATATAAAAAAAAATTCCGTAAAATTAAACAAATTACTCACAAAATAATCCTAATTTAAAACCCAACGTCACTCGATCGGAACAGAACATTGCGTTCGTAACC